AAAGAGCTACATAAATAAGGCAACTTATCATGTTTATGAAATGTTTGTTTATGGATTGGAAGAGTCAACATGGTAAAGATGTCAATAATTCACAAACTGATATACTGGTTTAATGCAATTCATATAAAAATAGCAACAAGATTTTTTTGTACATAGGGATAAGATTATTTTAAACTATATTGAAAGCAGAAAAAAGAAAAAAAAACTAGAAAAGCTAAAACATTTTTGAAAATGAAAAAGTTGAAAAATTATTCCACCCAATTTCAAGATTACATAGATCTAATAAATAAGACTGCATGGTACTGGTGGAGGGACAGAAGATCAATGACTGACATACAGATAAATGGAAAATAGTTCATAATGCAGAACAGACCTATATGAATATGCCAAACTGATTTTTGATGTAAGTGCAAAAGCAATTTAGTAGAAGACAAACAGGCTACATCTTCAATGACTGATCCTGGAGCAAGTAAACATCCATAGGCAAAACCTATTAATCAAAACTTTTAAAATTTTCCCTAAAGAAATCTCTAGGCATAAAATAGGTTTTCACAGAATTTTACCGAATGCTTAAATAATTAACACTAATTTCAATTCAAAATGAATCAAAACTTAAATGTAAAATGTAAGACTATAAAACTTTTTAGGAAAAAAATTGGGAAGGATGTAAAGTAGCAAAGAATTCTTAATACCAAAAGCATAATCTATAAAAGAAAAATGGGTCAATTGCACTTCATTTAAATTAAAAACTTTTGCTCTGCTAAAAACCCTATAATAAGAGAATAAAAAGACAAGCTAGAGTAGGAGAAAATATTTGCAGATACTTGACAAAGGACTGGTATCTTAAATACATAAGTAAGTTTGAAAACTTATCAGTTAAAAAATATCCAACTAGAAAATAGACAAAAGACAGGAGGAAACACTTCACCTAAGAGTGTATGTATATGTATGTATGCATGGGTATATATGTCATATGTGTATATATATGGTACATATATATGGTATATATGGTGTTTGTGTGTATCTATTACATACAGGTAAATTAGTGAATGAAGAGATAGAAAACATCATTAGCCATTAGGAAAACGCAAATTAAAACCACAATAAGGTATTAGTGCATACCTATGAGAATAGGTAAGATTTAAACACTCAACATCCAAACTGGTGAGAATGCAGAGAAACCTGGTCCACTCATTATTGGTGAGAAGGTACAAGGGTAGAATCAAATAGATTGGTACTTAATTAAAAAACAAAATATGCAACTCTGTCATACAATTGCATCCCGGGAGTCTAAGATTAGAACAATGAAAACTTATGTTTACGTAAAATGTGTACATGAATGAATTTAATAGTACTAGTAGTGTTATGGCCCCAGACTGGAGACAACCCAGTTATACTGCAATATATCATCATATTCTGCAGTTAAAAAAGAAAACAAAACACCAAACCAGGGGCCAGTAGGTGGTGTGGTGGTTAAGGTAATAGACTCCTACATAGCTGACAAGGATTCGAGTCCCAGACCCAGAAGCCTGAAAATAATGTCGGGCACACATGTACGGATGTCCCAAATCATTAATGAATTAAGAAGGGACTGCAGAGGCCTCAGAAGAGACCTTCATGGCTACTGAGAACTAGTAATTGCAGGGGAATAGGAGAAATGAAGATTTTCCACTGATAATTCAGCCTCTAGCCCACAAACTCGTGTGACTGAACTTCAAGTTTGGGAAAAAACACACTTTCCATCAGATGACTAGAAATCACCGCAGGACCACAAGGAATATGGGAAAGCAAGAAAATACCTCTCCTCCAAGGGAAAACAATAACTCCTCTTCATCCACAGACAGTTCAATGGAAATCATGGAAATGTCTGATAAAGAATTTAGAACATTCATAATCGCAAAGCTAACAGAGATGGAAGAGAAGAGAGACAATGAACTGCAGAAGAGAAAGGAAAAGAGCTGATGAGTTCCAGGAGGTGAGAAAATTCTTGCAAGATCTAAAAGAGGAATTACACACTTTACAAAAGAATTAAATGAAACTGTTAGAGATGAAGGCTATAATACAGGAAGTCAAAATCTGTCTTGAAAGTATTAAAAGCAAACTAGATCATACCGAAAATAGAATCTCAGATGTAGAAGAGAAAATTGCTGGCCTAGAAATATCCACCACGAAGACTGAGAAAATGGCCCAAAAATTTGAAAATAATATACGAGAAATATTAGATACCATCAAACATCCAAACATCCAGATAATTGGCATCCCAGAAGGCGAAGAGACTCCTAAGGGCATTGATAATCTATTCCATGAAATCCTGCAAGAAAACTTTCCAAACCTAGAGAGGCACTCAAAGATCCAGTCCCAAGAAATACAAAGGACCCCAATCAGAATCAACTCAAGATCTTCTCCAAGACACATTATAGCCAGATTGACCAAAACCACAAAGACAAGATACTAAGATTGGCAAGAGAGAAACAGCAAGTTACCTACAAAGGCTATCCCATCAGACTAACAGCAGACCTCTCATCGGAAACAATGTGACCGAGGAAAGAAAGGAAAAATACATTCGAAGTGTTAAGGGAAAAGCAATTGCAACCAAGAATACTGTACCCAGCAAGATTATCCTTCATATGGGAAGAAAAGACAAGAACATTCTCAGATAAACAAAACCTGAATTAATTTACCAGCACCAGATCAGATCTCCAAGAAGTTCTCAAGGGAGTGCTATGTCAGGAAAATTAAATGTAGAAATAAAAGATCAAGAACTAAGAAAATGGCCAACTTAATCATAGAGACAAGTCTGGAGTTGAATATTATATCCCAGAATTCAATCGGGAAGGTCGAACCACAACACAAGATAGATTAAGTACATGAGACTGAACTGATGAAATAGCATTCTGTAATTTTTGACTTAGGCTTTGTTGTCTGGTTTTAAGAGTTTTTGTCCTGTCTTGAGCTGTCAATCGGTTCATGTACCTACTATTTGAACAGAATACTAACCTGATTCCAGGCTTTAAATTTTAAGCAAATTTCCTTACCAATTCAAAACTGCTTTTCTTTAAATTACCAGCTAAACTTGTTACTGAAAGTACTCAGATTATTTAAGAAATTGTGTGATCAATAAAATGTGGGAGGAAAAGGAATGGAAGACAACTGTAGACACCAGAGATAGTGTGAAAAGAGGGTGGGAAAGGGCAGAGGGTCAGACATAGGGGTAAAAATACATACATATACATACACACACATGCACACACATGTGAACCTAGAAATGGAAAATTATTGATAACATATATGATTAAGCCACTATGCAGTATATTCTGGATGGGAAACCACTTTTTGTATGCTGTGACAATGATTAAGGGATGAATTAACATTAATTAATTTAAAAAAAAGTTTCAGGGAAAAAAATGCGTATTTAATGACTGCAGTATGTTATATAGCTCCAGCTAGGTGCTACTTCATACTATGTTCATTCTACTTACTGAGGTTTAGGCCTAAAATCAGACTTGTGTTCATGGATATGTACATATGAGCTGTGCTTGCTACTGGAAATATTCAGATTAAGTAAGTTATTAGCAAATCAACAAAATGGGGGGAAAAGGCATAGAAAGCAACCATGGATACCAGTGGGAGGAAGGTGGGACATGGCAGAAGGTGAGAGACAGGGAATCAAGGATGGCATAAAAAGCAAAATACACAGGAAACAAGAAATGGAAAATTATTTGTCGACGATAACACGTATGTTGATGTGCTTGATCGAGACAATATACAGTGTATTCTGAATGGGAAATCTCATTTTGAATGCTGTAATGATGTATAGTGAATGAATGTAAATAAATAAATTTAAGTTAAAAAAAAAAAAAAGAAAAAAGAAAGGACTGCAGCATGGTTAGTCCTCCTTAGAGGTGATTTCTTTCTCTCTCTCTCCGGATAGTGTTTGTACCCTATGGCAAAAACTTAAAAAAATTTAAAAAAGAAAATGACTGAAACATACAACCTAGAGAAATGATGTGGAGTAAAAAAGCCAAACAACCCAAAAGGTTACACGTCTGTTTTCACTTATGTAACATTCTCGAAATAACAAAATTGTGAAAATATTGAGCCTATGACTGATTGTCAGGGATGTGGGAATTAGGAAGGGGTAAGGACAAAAGGGAGATGGGGGGCGGATTGTTGCTATTAAAGGCACGTAAGCTCTCTGTAGTGATGGAAATGTTCAGTGTGTTCACTGTGCCAACGTCAGTATCTTGGGTGTGAAGCTGCACTATATACTTCGGCCGCACCCTACGTTACCACTGGGGGAAACTGGTTCAAGGTTACACAGGGTGTCTACCATTTCTTACAAACAGATGTAAATCTACAACTACCTAAAAAGAAAGATGTTCTTAATAAAGGTACTAGGGGGACCAGTAAATGGCGTAATGGTTTCATTGCTGGACTTCCACATAGTCAACCACAGTTCTAGTCCCAGACCTGGTGGCTTAAAGCTAACACTGAGTATGTGTGCCTGCGTACCCAAAATCCTGAGAGGAGGAGGAGGAGGGACTGAGGCGTGGCCATCCCCCAAGGGGTTGATTTCTCACTTTTTGTCTCTCTGGCAAGCACACATGCCCTATAGTAAAAATTTCTCTTTAAAAAAAAAAAAAAAAAAAAAAAAACCAAAATTCTTTGGCCGGAAGTTAATTAAAAAGTACTAGGTTGAGGACCAGCAGGTGGTACACTGGGTAAGGCACTGGACTTCCCACATGGTCAAGTGCGGTTCAAGTCCTAGACCTCGTGGCTTACTTTCTCACTCACTCTCTCTCTCTCTGGTGGATACATGCACCCTATAGCGAAATTAAAAAATAATAATAAACAGATTAAAAAAAAAAAAGGTACTAGGTTAAAGAAAAATTTGGCCTTCAATGATCCTACAAACTAAGTACATCTTTATTAACACAATACAAAAACATGTTCAAAATCTACCCAAATGAAAATACAACATAGGAAAAAAAGTAACTTACAGAAATTACTTCCTTGGGTGGTGAATTTTTTATAACATTTAATGGTGACACTGAGTTTCCTGGAGGAAAAAAAGTATAACTCTTAATAAAAGCCAAATACTACTTTTTATTTCTGACAAAATGAAATGGCATAATTAGGTGGTATTCAGATAATAGGGCTCTACCATAACAGCCTTATAGTTACACCAAATGTAAGTAACATCCTACTTAGTAGCTAAGTGGAAAATAGAAACTTCCTAGCTGACTGCTCCTACCACTATGGTCTTTCCTGCAGTCATTAAGGCAGTGCTTCCCAAAATTGTTGGACTCGGATCCCTTTACGATTAGAATTATTGAGGATCCCAAAGAACTTTTTCTGCACGTGGCTTCTATCAACATTTTCTATGTTAGAGGCCCCGCTGCAGTGTATGCACTGCACTGCTGATATGCCATGCTAAACAGAGAGGAAGCTCAGGTTCAGTTCCCAGTACAACCTAGAGGCCAGGCGTGGTGAAGTGTGTCCACATGGGAAGCTCAGGTTCAGTTCCCAGAACAACCTAGAGGCCAGGCGTGGTGAAGTGTGTCCGTCATCCTTTCTGCTGCTCACCATGTGCTCTCTCGTTCCCTGATCTACCTCTGCCTACCCATCCCTAATGTCCTAAACACCACCTAACAATCCCAGCAACTAGGGACGGCTGTAGCAAGAGGACTGCAAGCTCAAGGCTGACCTGGGCAACGGAGCCAGCTTTTGTCTAAAAACAAACAAAACAAAAAAGAGCTGGGTATGGTGAGGATGCATGTGCTGTAGTCCCTTTTGGGAGACAAAAGTAGAGCCATGATACAGTAAGAATCTGCCTTCAAAAAAGATTTTTGGCTATTTTTATTTATTTATTTATTTTTGCTTTTACCAGTAGATGGTGTGGTGATTAAGGTGCTGAACTCCCACATGACTGACCGTGGTTCAAGTCCCAGACCCAGTGGCTTGAAATTCAAACCAGGTGCTATGCATGAAATCTCAAAAGGGGAATGGAGAAAGAATTGCAGCACGGATGCCCTCCACCCCCTGGGGGGGGGTGGATTTCTCACTTTTCCTCTGTCTCTGTCTGTCTCTCTCTGGCAAGCTCGTACGCCCAACGGCAAAAACCCCAACAACAACAAAAAAGTTTGGGGCAAGCATATGGTATAACAATTATGTCACTGAATTCCCACTTGGCTGTGGTTCGAGTACCAGACTCAGTGGCTTATATATCATGCCAGCACATGCGCATGCCCAAGATCTCAGGAGAAGGGGTTGCAGCATGGCCATTCCCTCTGTGGGGTGATTTCTTAGTTTCTCTCTGACAGTCTCTGCCTGTCTCTAGTAAATGCATGTGTCCTGAGGCAAAAAACTCTTAGAAAAAAAAAAAAAGTTTTAGGACCAGCAGATGGAGTAATGGTCATACTACTGGACTCTTATTCAGGTGACCGTGCATGGTTGGAGTCCTGGACCCAGCGGCTTAAAACTCATGCTGGGTGCGTGTACGTAGTGCCTAAAATCCCGAGAGGTGAATGGAGGAAAAGGGACTATAGCATGGCCATACCCCATGAGGGGTGATTTCTTGCCTTCTGTCTCTCTGGTGATCACATGTGCCCTATTGCAAAAATCGCTCTAAAAAAATAAGTTTGGGGACCAGTAGTTGGTGTAATGGCTATATCACTGGATTCCCACGTAGTCAACTGCGGTTCGAGTTCTGGACCTGGTGGCTTAAACTCTGGGGGCGTGTGTGTGCATGCCCAAGATCCCAAGAGAATAGAGAAGGGATTGCGGCATGGCCACCCCTCCAGGGTGGGTGACTTCTCACTTTCTGTATCTCTGTTTTTCTGGCAAGCACACACACCCTATAGCAAAAACAACAACTAAAAACCTCTCCAAAAAATATTTTTTATTGCATTAGAAATTAAATTAAGCTAAATTTAAAAATATTTATTCATTTAAAAAAATGACCTCCGTATTGACGTAATTAAAAACAAAATGTGCTTTGAAACAAACAAACAAAAAAAAACAGAAGTTTTACATTTTGCATCTCTCTTTAGTGTCTGGCTTAACAGATGACAGGTAGATTCACATAAGTGCTGTCACGATATGCTCTTTGGTTACAGTATCTGAAGAAAATCTGACCTCACGCACCACTGCGCAACACCAGGCAATCGGTCATCTGGAAAAAACTTTACATTCAGTTCTGCAGAGTTGCCAAATGCTGACATATTTCATCATACTATACAAAAAAATGCAGTTATTACTATCACCAGAAAAGTCTCAAATATTAGGAAGCTCAAAACTCAGAGTGGCAGACACAAGTTTTCTAAAATACTAATTTGCTTGAATACTATTTTCTATCATTAGCCCTAAAATACTGTCAGCTATGTTGTTGGGGTTTTTTTTTTGTCTGTTTGCTTTTTTTGAGAGGTTTTTGCTATAGGGTACGTGCGCTCGCCAGACAGAGAGAGACATAGAGACAGAAAGCGAGAAATCACCCCCCAGGGGGGATGGCCACATTGCAATCCCTTCTCTTCCATTCTCTGCTCAGGATCCTGGGCACACACGCACATGCGACCGGCATGAGTTTAAGCCACCAGGTCTAGGACTTGAACTGCAGTCGACTACATGGGAGTCCAGTGACAGCCATTACACTAACTGCTGGTCCCTCAGCTGTTTTTCTTGATGTGACAGGCTCACTTTGTTGATCCTTGAGACAATACTTGTCAGGTATATAAGTATGAGTAACCACAGTTTGTTATTAAAGTAAAAAGAATGTTTCAAGGGAAAAAAAAATCTCCACTCAGAACACAACTCAAATCACACACATGCTTATCATACTCACGTGAAACATGAACAGGAGTGACCCCCATCTCGTTGGGCAGAGTATTATATATACCTATACACGAGATTGAGATTAATGAAATTTTTATTGTTCCATCAAGATCATTTTACAGTGAAATTGGCATTTTGGATTTCTGTTTTCACCACAAGTGCATGGCAATGAAAAACTCAATGACCACTTGACCACGTGGGTGACCCTGTCTTAAGGTGAGCTAGTCATCATTAGCAGTCACTCATAGTTACTTTTGCACTGTCAGTATAAAGTCAGCACAGATAAAAAGGCAAATAATGTTTTAATGTCATTAGGAAAATAGTTTTGACCTCTTAGGGCACTCCAGATACCCAAGGGGCCACATTCTGAGAATTATATCAGGTTAAAGTTAAAAGATCACATCTCACATACATTCAAAAAGACTAAATTTTCTACCAGGTCCCAATCTCCTTTTATTTTTAAAAGAATTGTTTTTATTTATTTAATTTGATTTATTTTAGGTTGATAAGCGAGAGAGGAAAAGTGAGAAAGCAAGCTGCCAGGTCTGGGACTCGAACCGTTGTTGGCCATGTGGCAGTCCAGTGCCCTTAACTACCATGCCACCCACCAGTTCCCCTAGCCTCCTTAAAAAGCAGGTTTTTATAATTAGGACCAAAGGGATGATAAAACAAATCACACAACATTGGTTAATATCTCACATATATCTTTGTGAGCTATCATATATATAGTTTTTTGGTATTTGAAAAATAGGGTTAATCTTTAGAGCACTCATAAAGAACTACTATTTCTTTTCTATCAGATTGTTAATTTAAAAGAAATAAAAAGAAAAAACAAGCTTATCTGTGAACTTTTTCTCTCCAGGAATTCTTTGTCATTAATCAAGCCTAAGGAAACTACTAAGTATCTGTTTTTACCTTCTATAATTTATTAATAATTAAATGCAAACACCATTAGGTAGTTGTTTGGCTGGTCTGTTAACAGCCCCCTGGTGTGTATATGTTTGTGCTAAGTCACAGAAATTCTCAAAATCAAAAAATAATAACCCTGTGGTCTTCACTTACCTGATGGCAATGTCTTCCCGTCTCCTTTGGATCCAACCACATTTCCACTGAGGTCATTAGGAATTGAAGATACTGAATTGTCTTCCCGGCTAGCCAAATACTGTTTGGTTTGCTCACAAAGTAAAAAATTGTTCTTTTTATTTCCATTCTCTGGGCTTTTCAACCTGAAGTTGGGATGGTTAGGATGTGCTCCAGGACTCCTTAAAGAATCAGGTGATGGAAGCTTGCTTTCATTTTTCTCAAAATTAAATGGCTCTGTCATTCTACAAGTAGATGCTTGCGAATTATTTCTTGACATCATATTAAGTGGCAATTTAACACTCATAGAAGTCTAAAGAAAGAAATGTATCAAGAGGCAACTTTAAAATCACAAAATAGAACTGCAGGCTCAGGGACATTCTTTAAAATATTTATGTAATAAATTGAATCATAAAAGATTCAAAAGCACGTATAACCATGAAAACAGAACCTGGCCTTTAAAGCACAAGTAGGACACTTTAAAAAAAAATTTTTTTTTTGTCCTAAGGCATGTGTGTTCGCTGGAGAGAAATAAAGCTGGTCAAGGAGTGAGAAAACAGCTCCCACGAGGAATGGTCACACCACGATTCCTTCTCCTCCATTTCTCTCTCCTTTCGTAATTGGAAGCATGCACGCACACGTGCCTGGGTTATTTCTGAAACTGTTAAGTGCAGGACGCAAACTGCGCAGGGGGCCATGTGGGATCCAGTTACCTTAGCCACCATATTTTATAAGGAACTTCAAAATAAACTCTTTAAAAAGCCTGAAATCTACTGAGCTAAGTCAGGAACTCACCATCCTGAGCTTGTTCCACTTTTTTATTAATAAGTAGAAACTACAAATTTAAAAGATCATCCAAAGACTAGCTCGAGAGACACCAAGAGAATAATCTCAGGGGTTGGACCATAGCAGTAGAACACTTAAGTTTTGTGAAGCTGACCCATGTGGGAAGGTTCTGGGTTGGTATATGCAGATCCCGAGTAACCTGTGCCCAGAACCTGTGCTAGGTGGACCCAGAGATCTTCATCAAGACTTCATTGGGGGTACTGTCTCTTTCTGTCTCTCTCCCTCAAAGAAGAAACAAACAAACAAAAAGACTTATGTTACAGTTAGAGACCATCCCTTGCTTCTAAAAGCTTTCAAGGAAACAGGAGTAGGTCTTTGGTATTTCAAAAGAAGATACTGCCAAGCTAACACCGATATCTTAATGGTAAAATGCACAGAGGTTTTTGTTTAAATCTGTCACCACCTACCTTACCTATCTTCTCCAAATCAATCCTCCCCTATTTTATTCTACATCAAGTCTTTGAATACACAAAGCCCAGAATGCCCAGGCTTTCCCATCTGTTTGTTCATCCTCATTATAGTTCATAATTCTCAGCTGATGGCATTGTCCCTGGTTTTCCCAAGGCCCCTTACCCTTTGATAATCTCCAGCTGAACTTCCATAAATTTTAATTTGTACCTACCAGCTTTTAAGGATCTGTGTGCTTTCTCTCAAAATGAGACAGATTGCAAACTTCCTGTGTTTAATTTGTTGCAAATGCTTCTATTCAGAAATAACACTGGCCTGTTGTTTTTCTATCATGCTTAAAGAATACTAAGTATTTTGCCAAGGGGAAGTAGTTAGAGTGGACAAACAACTCTTCCTTTTGAAGTAGTGACCTGCAGCTTTGACTATAAACCTGGACAGAACTTCTGCCTATTCTCCCAGAACTATTCAGAGGAAAATTTAAAAAGTCACAGATGGTTCAAACTATCATGAGTAATTATCTAAATGCTGTTTAAAATGGTTTTTAAGATAAAATTTTTAAAAAAATCCTCCCTCCTGGTGCTCTAAAACATTTATTGCATTTCTTATTTCAAATTAGATCTAGCCTACCAATCCAATGGAAATGCAGAAACAATCATGAAATTTAACAAAACAAATACAGAGGTACACTAAAAGGTGGGATACTCTTAGTGGGCTAGATCCAAGGAAGATTCTCCAATAACAGGCCCCTACCCAGGTGGAGAGCTATGGTGGAAGACCCTGCAGCTGCT